ATGTGGCTTTATATTATGCTATTTTGTGCATAAATAAGTATAGTTCACAGATTTATTTACGTCAGACGCATTTTATAACCTGTGCATATCAATGAAGAGTTTAGAACAATATAAATTTAAAAATAAGGAAGGCTGAGTAAAAAGTGACAGACGTTGTACGTTTTTAAAATTAAAATTTACACATTTTTAAACAGAAATGTGAATAGACGTTCGAAATATTTTACGAGCTGTATGATTTATCTACGTATTTCAATATTTAGATAACTTGGACTATAGCTAATAATTCGATGTATTTTATACCTATAATAATCATTTATACTTTGTATTTACATTAGGCTAAAATTAGTAATTAGAACTGATTTTTCTTTTAAGGTAACACTCGTGTGTCTTTTATAAAAATATATCAGATATACCGTTGTAACTACGTAATAATCGTTCTAACTGAATTCTATTTTAAAATAACAATTCTTGCAAGAAAAATACATATCGAATTTTAGTCTTGCCATTCATTCAATAATAATGAATTATTCATTATTCATTTTCAATAATTACATTAGAAATTAGACTCCTATTAGAAAAAAATTTGACATAAAAACATTTCTAACGTTGGCCCGCTTTCTGGATCACTGTACAATGGCCTCCTCCACCTGTTCCAAACAACCAACAAAAACATACACGAAAATTTTAATTCATCTGCAGCTATAACAGCTCGCATCCTGCAAAGAACATGAGAGCTAAGCACGCGACGGTTCAGCATCAGCAACATCAGCAGCAGCAATCATAAAGGAATCGTACACTTTCGCTTACCCATTAGTTTCCGCACTTCTGCCTGGCTGAGGAAGAGGTTGAAGTAACTTGCACCTGGCCGCAGGAGCATGGACAGCAACACTGCCAATTTTAGGAGCATCATGACCACCACGTGCTTAACCGATTGTATGTACTAGGCACCCGTAAACACGCGTTACGTTACGGTCCGGCACGGCACGGCGTTACAGTCTCGCGTCCGGTATCATGATCCACGAGGGCCGAACATAAATTCACGAGCGATAATTCACGGGCGTGGGCCCACGTGACAGCAGGTTATTCCGGCGCAACGTTCGCGAGCGGTCGAAAACAAGCCACGATCCTGATAGTAATCGGCCAGCGTTCGCTTCGTACGGAGCGATGCTTTTGACAGTTCGTGGCATGAAAATCACGTTCTATACCCGTAACAGGCACTCCCCCGGTAATCGCGGGCCGGATACGTTCGCGAGAAGCGTGGACGGTGTTTGTTCGGATGATTAGACGGCCCGTGAAACGAGCCACGGAAACGTAGAACCAAAATCAGATGACGCGAAGGAACAAGAATGCACGCACGAAGGAGCGCGCGACATACCTGCCTCACGAAAGCCACAACCAGTTGTGTGCTCCGACCGCCATGGGTCGAGCGAGGTCGACGCAGGCTCGCCGAGCCGAGCAAGGCCGAGCAAGGCCGAGCAAGGCCGAGCAAGAACGACCGCGGCCGAGCTGTCGCCGCGAGAAACGCTCGTTCCAGGCTGACTTCGGATCGGCCAAGTTCGGGCTCCCTCGCCGGACCGGCCGACCAAGGGGAGAATTAAAATTGCGATTCGCAAACACGCCGCCAAGATTTACGACAGGGTGCAATCAGGCCGCATTTTTGGAGATATCAGCTACTCGTCGGCGGTTAAGGCATCCCGGCTCCTGGTAGGCACAAGTACAACGCTTTTTCGTTGCTCAGAAAAATCAGAGAACACACCGGGCGACGGTTATGAATCAAATGTTGTGTCCACGCGCGCGCGCGCGCGTGCGTTCGAGCTCGAGCCCGCTCGTTCGCTCGCGCGCGCTTTTGTTTTCTGCACTCGAATGTTACTTGTTGCATTTTCCCCGCGCATATGCTCCCGTTGCGAAGTCATTTGTTTTCCAGCTGACAGTCCCGACAAATATGACGAGGGTTTCGCGTGTACTCGATGAACAGAAGTCGATTCGCTCGTCAGGAGACTTTGGCCGGAGCTATGTAACTGTGGCGTGATTATGATGCTTAAGTTAACTTGAATATAGGAGTGCATATATCATTCTTCCGAGCGAACGACGTGTTCTGTTTCGTGTTGATATTTTATTTGGACTTTTATTTCCTGTTGTATTTTCTCTGGTATTTTTCTCAAACGATGATTGTTTTTACACCCTTTGAGGGTGTAAAATCTTACATAATGGCAGCTACATGAAGCTATTTCCTTAAGTTACTGGCAAATAATTTAATTATTTTAATAACAAATGATATGTAGAACTTCGTATATTATCATTTTTTCAGTGTCTCGAAGAATCGTTGTCTGGAAAGGATAAAAATTAGCAATCACTTTTTTAAGTCATATTAACACACTTTAATTGGTATACTTTATTTAAGTTCACTCAGAGAAAGATAACTTTATATTAGCAGAAATTGAACGTATCTCAATTAACTCGTTAGCTATTTTACAATGAAATTTTAAAACCTGGAGTTCTTAA